TTATCGTAATTGAACTCAGTGTTCGGCGCGCAGGAGTGCTGAAGACATTTTTGAGATGAGGGATAAAAATGGAAAATTGCTTGCTCTACTGACAGCCGATTCTTTTATGCCTACAGTAATACCGTGTGTTTACGCCCAGGACGAGTCCCTTCAGCCCTCGGGAGAGGGTATCCTCCAGGCATTTGTTTATTTTTATAAATCCTTATACTCCCTCATTCCAACCTATGAGGCCTCCCAGGTAGGGACCTTTCTGGACAGTTTACCTTTTGCATATGCTATCAGATGAGGCTAGGGAATGCTGGATGCTCTGTTCACCGAGGAGGAGGTGGCCGGTGCTACAGCTCCTTCTCTAATTGAATGTCCCCTGGCCCAGATGGGCTTCCTGTGGAATGATATAAGCAATACTCTGAGGAGCTAGCTCCCAGGCTTCTATACTTATGGGCAATTCTTACAAACGAACACCTTGCCCCAATCATTTTTATGAGGCACATGTAATATTGTTAGCTAAGCCTGATAAGAACTTGTTACAGTGTGCGTCTTATAGGCCTATTGCCCTCTTAAAAATGAATCTCAAGATCTTTACTAAGATGCTTGCAACCAGACTTATGACAGTCCTTGATCTTTTGGAGTCCCCAGATCAAACAGGCTTTATACCCAGTAAGGCCACAGACATTAATCTTAGGAGGGTATATACTCATATTGGGTCCGGACAACCGAGTTTTGGTTTTTTTAGACCTTGAAAAAGCATTTGATTCTGTTGACTGGAGGTATATGCAGGAAGTCCTGACACGTACGGGATTCGTGGAGGTATTTTTCCGCTGGATAGGTTTGCTCTGTGATCATCCTGTTGCCGCCATTTAGACTGGTGGCAGACTCTCTAAGTTCTTTCCGGTGGCTCTGGGCAACAGGCAGGGCTGCCCACTGTCTCCGGGGCTTTTTGCCTTCATGATGGAGCCCATTGCCTTGGCTCTGCTGGCTTTTTCCTCGATGTGTGGGGTACAGGTGGGGAATTTGGAGGAACAAACTGCCCTTTTTACTGACGATGTGGTGCTCTTCCTGGAAGACACAGGGCCTCCTTGTCATCCACCTTATCCACATTAGATTATATAGCTTCTTTTTCTGGTCTCTGCGTGAATTTGCCTAAATCTAAGGTTCTCCCTTTGGGCAGGGATGCGGGAAGCCTTCCACGGCCCATTTCGCTGCTCCAATGGGTGTAAAATATTTAGGGGGTAACCATTACTAATTCCGTGCTTGATTTCATAAGGTTGAATGTTTCCCCTATCCTTTTTCATTTCAAACAAGATTGGTGCCTGGAGGAATCTCCCTCTCTCGATGATTGGCAAGGTAAATTTGATCAGAATGTGTGGATTCCTTGTACTTCCAAGCTATGCATGGTTTGGAAGGGTGGTGTTCCTAGGCTGTGGCTTGAGATCATACAACAATCTTGGAAGGAAGGTGGTCTAGCAGTGCCTGGCTTCTATAAATATTTTATAGCTGGTCAATTAGTTTTCGCAAATAGATAGTTGACAGGCCCTCTGGATGATGCTGCAGTTGCCTTAGAGGTGGCTGTGGTTGGCTCCTATGAAGCCTTGGCCCATCTGGTACACAGAGGTCAAAGGTACCCACATGTTTTGACCGGTTCCAATTAGATGAGTATTAAGGGCTTGGTCGGTGGTGCATGGGGCTGAATTTGAGGGACTTTTTGCTCCCTCACCTCATGCTCCCCTGTGGAAAAATCCTAATCTACCTAATTTTTACACGTATCAGGACCCTATTGTATGGACAGTGTTTGGGATGAAAACATTGGGGAATATTATACATAATGGTCAGTTGAGAACATTTGATGAGTTAAAGGCCTTGTATCACCTACCTAATAATTCTCTTATCAAGCGCAATTTGGACCCTCTGGGGTTTCCCTTTCTTCCTCGGATCTGGAGTCATTACTGTGGGACAATGAGTTATCTAAGCCCTTATCCACTATATACAGGTGAAACTCGAAAAATTAGAATATCGTGCAAAAGTTCATTTATTTCAGTAATGCAACTTAAAAGGTAAAACGAATATATGAGATAGACTCATTACATGCAAAACAAGATAGTTCAAGCCGTGATTTGTCATAATTGTGATGATTATGGCTTACAGCTCATGAAAACCCCAAATCCACAATCTCAGAAAATTAGAATATTTTGAAAAGTTGCAATATTCTAGGCTCAAAGTTTCCCACTCTAATCAGCTAATTAAGCCATAACACCTGCAAAGGGTTCCTGAGCCTTTAAATGGTCTCTCAGTCTGGTTCAGTAGGAATCACAATCATGGGAAAGACTGCTGACCTGATAGTTGTGCAGAAAACCATCATTGACACCCTCCATAAGGAGGGAAAGCCTCAAAAGGTAATTGCAAAAGAAGTTGGATGTTCCCAAAGTGCTGTATCAAAGCACATTAACAGAAAGTTATGTGGAAGGGAAAAGTATGGAAGAAAAAGGTGCACAAGCAGCAGGGATGACTGCAGCCTGGGGAGGATTGTCAGGAAAAGGCCATTCAAAATTGTTGGGGACTTTCACAAGGAGTGGACTGAGGCTGGAGTCAGTGCATCAAGAGCCACCACACACAGACGGATCCTGGACATGGGCTTCAAATGTTGTATTCCTCTTGTCAAGCCGCTCCTGGGCTAAAGAAAAACAGACCTGGTCTGTTGCTCAGTGGTCCAAAGTCCTCTTTTCTGATGAGAGCAACTTTTGCATCTCATTTGGAAACCAAGGACCCAGAGTATGGAGGAAGAATGGAGAGGCACACACTGCAAGATGCTTGAAGTCCAGTGTGAAGTTTCCACAGTCTGTGTTGATTTGGGGAGCCATGTCATCTGCTGGTGTTGGTCCACTGTGCTTCATTAAGTCCAGGGTCAATGCAGCCGTCTACCAGGAGATTTTGGAGCACTTCATGCTTCCTTTCACAGACAAGCTTTATGGGGATGCTGACTTCATTTTCCAGCAGGACTTGGCACCTGCCCACACTGCCAAAAGCACCAAAACCTGGTTCAATGACCGTGGGATTACTGTGCTTGATTGGCCAGCAAACTCACCTGACCTGAACCCCATAGAGAATCTATGGGGCATTGCCAAGAGAAAGATGAGAGACATGAGACCGAACAATGCAGAAGAGCTGAAGGCCACTATTGAAGCATCCTGGTCTTCCATAACACCTCAGCAGTGCCACAGGCTGATAGCTTCCATGCCATGCCGCATTGAGGCAGTAATTGCTGTAAAAGAGGCCCAAACCAAGTACTGAGTACATCTGCATGCTTATACTTTTCAGAGGTCCGATATTGTTCGATGTACAATCCTTGTTTTATTGATTGCATGTAACATTCTAATTTTCTGAGATTGTGGATTTGGGGTTTTCATGAGCGGTAAGCCATAATCATCACAATTATGACAAATCACAGCTTGAACTATCTTGATTTGCATGTAATGAGTCTATCTCATATATTCGTTTTACTTTTTAAGTTGCATTACTGAAATAAATTAACTTTTGCACGATATTCTAATTTTTCGAGTTTCACCTGTATGTCTCTTTTCCACAAAACTAGTAAACTCCTGGAGGTGTGTAGGACTAGGTGGGAGGCAGTAGTCCCTGACCTGGATAGTCTCAGCCCGTGGCCAACTAATACACTTTAAATTCTTACACCTTATATATCTGACCCCAGCCAAAATTGCTAAGATTTTTGAATCAGCTTCTTCCTCCTGTTGGCGTTGTCTGGCGGATGGGTCTGATTTCATGGACATATTTTGGGATTGTCCAGCTATACAGGAGTTTTGGTTGGTAGTTTTCCGGTGCATTCAAGACGTTACCACTATATCGCTTCACCCTTCTGTGAGACATTGCCTACTTAGTGTGGTGGATGATTTGACCCTACTACAGCTGTACGCACACTACTCACCTTACTCTTCTTCCATGCTAGGAAACTAATTGTTCTCTCATGGAAAAGACACATGCTCCTACCGTGGGGGCTTGGAAGTTCCAGGTTAATAAGACATTACCCTTTTACTTGGATTTGTATCTTAAAATGAGAGCTCTCCTCAAGTTTTACAAGGTTTGGGGCAGGTGGGTATCATCTTCCCTTACGGTCTCGGAGTGAATATTCTACTACGATTTTCTCCTATTAGGGTCTCTTTAAAATGATATTTGTTGAGCATTTGAGTTGGTTGTTATATTACTAGTCTAAAGCTTACCTCTGTGCTTTGTATTGAGTGAGAATGGCTCTTTTGATGTCCAGTCACCTGAAGGTGGCAGACCAAACCTTTCATAAATGAGAGGAACATTCCCTGTGTACTATGATGTACTCCAAGAAAAGGATTTTACAGGTAAACCAAGAATCCCATTTTCACCTACTGTGTTTTCAGTAACAGCTACAGCATATGCTATGCAAACAGGAATTTACCTCTAAAATTATTTAGGTTTTGTTTTTCTAAATCGCTGTATTGCCAACTAGTCAAGATTTTATGGCATGAAACCTGTAGTTAAGTGAATCATTTAGGATTGCGGATTTCATTTGTAGTGAGAAAATGTAACACATTTGTTAATTCCAATAATTTTCATGGTTTAATTTCACTGAAGCAGATAATAGTCAGGCAAGTGGGATTTTCATAAGAAAGACAGCAATTGCAATCTACATATTTCTCTCTTGACAGGTTTACTTTAAAGTAAAGCTAGCTTGAGAGAAACATGGGGACTGCCATTGATGAAAACATTTGTATTTTAGTCACCCAGCTGTTGTGTTAATCCTGTGGCATCTAAGCCATGGATCCAGAACAAGGATAGGTCTCTGCCCTGTGTTCCAAGTAAAACTGGTGCTGTAAGAGGGTAATACTCTTTTGTGCTGCAACTCAAAGTAGGTCAGAATGCTCCAAGCAAAAAACTTTGCTACGTATCTTTCAAGTTTTGAGTGCATAGGATATTACTGCTAATTGTTAATCCGTTATTAAACATTATTCTTTCTACAGGTCTTTGGGTGTCCCAGACAAGGAGCCTGTATCCAGTTTACCAAAACAGAATACCAACAATCCTCCTGATATGTCTGGCTGGAATCCTTTTGGGGATGACAACTTCTCCAAATTAACAGAGGAAGAGCTGCTGGACAGGGAGTTTGACCTGCTAAGATCAAGTAAGGGACAATTGAAGGCTTATTTTGCTTCACAATAAATTGGACATACAGAACTGTCAGCCAAAGATTGTTCAGGCTCGTGGACCACAGTTAGACTCCAAACTTCTTTCTACGTGTCTGAGGGGCAACATTGTGTCCGGATTAAGTGAAAAAATCTACAAGGAACAGCTATAGATGACTGAGGGCATTACACAAACACAAGACAAACTATAATGTGCCCTACTTGTCCTCTACTGCATATTATTTTCATGGGTTGTGTCAGACCAGTGATGCCCTTTGACGATGCTTGAAAGGAGAGTTGGTCCTTTTTCACATTATGTTAATGTTTGTAATGTCCATGATATGCATCTGCCTGTAAGAGTAACTTTCTTGTTTCCAAAACATGGTTAAATAAACCTGTTCATATCATTCTCTGTTTGTTTTGCTTGAATGTGCCAAAACCATTTACTTCCATCTTAGTCTCTCAGCTGGTTAATGCCAGCTTGCACAAACCTTACATAGATTGGAAGCCTCTAAAGATACAGTAAGGAAATTCCCGTCTTTTTGTTTTCACTTGCTATGTTTTGTATTCACTAAAGATGAGCGAATTATCAAGAAGTCCACTCTGCTATCCATAACACCAAGTTAAATTGTGTTTTTTTTTTTTTTTTTTTTTAAATACAAGACACTACTGGTTATACAAAAAAAGATAGTTCAGGAATGCTGATACTCAAACCTAGCCACTGCTGCAAAAATGGCTGTTAATGTACGAATTAAAGCAAAGCTAAACCTTTTAGAATGTCAGTGATGCAATATCTATAAGCTCCCTCTCTGGAGCTGACTTTTTCTTCCACTTTTTCTGGATTGAGGTCTTTGGCCTGCTTAATTGGCTGTGCTAGCACTAAGGTGTGCTAGGAAGATGCATTTAGCTATGCATGAGGCTATAAGCTGCAGATTGAATACATGGGTGATGTTTTTCCTCCAGTTAGATTAGTTTACTCTATTTTTAGGATTCATTTTTCACAAGCATACACAAGTAATAATTAAGAGGTAGGGAAGACTCCCTTACTAATTCACAACCCAGGTAGTAGTATCAGTCAGTATGCCCGTAAGAATCAAGTATGTTCTGTAAGATACAGACCCAAAAAAATGAGTCTAACACCCGCCTATGGACTAAAGCTAAGTTAAACTTAAAAAAAAAAAAAAAAAAACTACAAAAAAAAACCACACACATTGGTGGAAGAAACAGCTTATTTAAATAAAACAAACTCTACATTTACATTGCTCATTTTATTTAAATTCAGATACAAATGAACCAGAAGGTTCTCCATTGTGCCACAATGGGCCCTCCTCTTCCTTGAATAACCTTCTGTGGTTGAAGTAGCAGAGCTACCTATCGTCTTTAGATAACTAAATCTCAGAGAAATAATGTAGGGTAAATGGAGCACTAGATTGCTATTCAAATTATGTAATTAATGAGAGTTGCATATATTGCTTTTCCTCACACTTCTGCTCATGTGCCACATTTTTTTGTAACCTGTTTTTACAAGGCTAATGTTTTGATATATGGTGCCTTGTTCAAGCCCCCACTTTAAGCCATTGCCCAATACTAACAGGCTTATGAGCTATTATCAACATAGCTGAAAGTCTGCATACTCATGGCTATCTACAGGAATTGCAGCCTATTTGCCTGCTGCACTGTGGGCTGTTATAATTGAGAGGAAGCAGGTTTACACCATAAAAACAACACCGTTGTATTGGGAATTATCAGAGAATATCTTCTGGCCATGAATGAGCCTGATTTAAACAAAAATCTTTAACCTGGGAGATTTATTCGCTCATCTCTAGTACTCACTAACCAGTTTATACTCATTTGCATGGCACTGTCCTTTCTATGTTTCAGAATGTTTCAGAATCCATTCATAAAGTCTAACAGTTATGTGCAGATGCCAAAAACTTTACTAATTCTCTTATAGTATAATGTCTTTACATTCTTTATTTTAACCTCCAATCAAAAATTATTATACAAGTTTGTGATATTCCTAATGCAGTGTTTCCCAAAGTGTCAGAAATGTGCCAATGCACATATATACTCACCGGCCACTTTATTAGGTACAGCTTGCTAGTACTGGGTTAGAGCCCCCTAGAGATGGCTGTGCATGAAAATCCCAGTAGATCAGCCTTTTTTTACACACTCAGACCAGCCCATCTGGCACCAACAGCCATGCGACATTCAAAGTCACTTCAGTCCCCTTTCTTCCCCATTCTGATGCTTGGTTTCAACTTCAAGTGGTCTTCATCACATCTAGATGCCTAAATGCATTGAATTGCTGCCATGTAATTGGCTGATTAGCAGTTTGTGTTACCAAGCAATTGAACAGGTGTATCTATTAAAGTGGCTGGTGAGTCTATATCCATAATTTAGATTTTGCTCTTCTGTAGGAATGAAAAAGAGGATAGCTGACAAAATAATTTTTTCTTTCAAAATTTAAATTAGCGCGCTATCTTTATTAAACGGAAATTGTCTCCATGAAAAAATATGCTTACACTTGTGACAACTGACAATTGCTAAAGAGAATACAGTAATGTAAACCAGTTATCATAAGTGTCAGTGATGTGGGTGAGCTTAACAAAGAAATACGTCCTCGGTGAGCTCACAAAACTCTCCTTCGAGAGTGCAAAATATTTTATTTCATGTGCACTGCTCTATTCACATCACAAATCCCATAGTTCATCTTGGGAGTGAGCAGGAGGGTGGCTGCGTTCCCACATACAGTGGGTACATGGCCAGTGGCTCTCCCGACTTGACATCACTTCTGGTCCGGCGGCTTCCGCGTTCCACGTTGGTCACCGCTGCTTTCCACCGGCGCTCCTCCATCCTCCCCTGGACTTGCCAGCTGTATGAGCTACATACACCTTAGGACCCAGCTGATTACTTTGGGAAGCTAGTGATGATGGCCGTTTTCTAAAGAAACATGCCTGTTTGCTCCTTTTTCATGTGAGTTGCCAATTGGCTTTTTAATAAATTCCTTTACTTCTATTGCTGCATTTAGTCTGGTGCCCTTTGTGTTCCTTTTTATTTCCTCTTTACATGGAGAATGGACATAGTGACCCTCTAACAGGAAGTAAAATCACAGTAGCAAAAAAAAAATGAATGCGGCTGAGATCAAAAAAAGGTTCTCTTTGACTTTAAAGTACATACATATGTAGTGATTTTTTACTAGTTTGATAATTGGACTGTGTAGTAGATGGAAAAGAACAAACTCAACTCAGAGTAAAGGACAAGGGTGGACATTCAACTGGCTTTTCTGAAAATTCATAACCGTATATATAGGGAATTATTAATTTTTATAGGGCTTGCACATTAGGAGTGCATATTCTTTGAAGAAACTAACGGTGAATACGGGCAGAGCACACATGCACCCACAACAACCACATAATGTCGAACTATAGAGGCCTGACTAAAATGATGTTTTATCATGTTGGTTGCTGGAAAAATATAAATAACATATAATGTGATCAGTTACTTAATTGAAAACATGGATTGGAATATTCTATTAGGTCATTACCATGTAAAACAATAAGTTAAAAATAGGATTTTTGACGTACCAACAAAATGTATTTACTGAAGTAAAATACAGTACAAGAAGCAGGCTTCTCTAAGGCCAAGTCCACCTTTAGGACCAATTTATGTTACATCCTTATTAGGGTGTAACATGGTGCCAAGCAGACCTCACCCCCAAAACAGATCCCTCACTGCCTATACAACCACATCGTTCAGAGAGATCTGTGAATGAAAAGACTACAAGTCCCATCTAGTACTGCAGCAGGCAGAATTTTAGTTCTTAATGGAACACAAGTGCAGTGATAAACGCACTCATAATCCATTCACACTTCCTCCAGCTCTCTATCTGAAAGCCGCTACGGCGATACAAGCTGAGAGCTGGAGTAAGAGCAAGATGCTTTGCAGGTTCAATTGCAAAAAAAGAATACATTTGCCCCAAAACTGTCATCAGAGGTGGCTTGAACATCCATCTGGTAAATTTAAAACAAACATGGATACAGGCCCAGGCTGCAGCTTTGCAAATCTTAGAAATCGATGTTTTGATGCTCAAGAGCCTGTGAAGCAGTAACAGATCTACAGTGCCTTGAAAAAGTATTCATACCCCTTGAATTTTTTTAAATTTTGTCATGTTACAGCCAAAAACATAAACGTATTTTATTGGGATTTTATGTGATAGACTAACACAAAGTGGCGCATAATTGTGAAGTGGAAGGAAAATGATAAATGGTTTTCAAATTGTTTTCACAGATAAATATGTGAAAAGTGTGGAGTGCATTTGTATTCAGCCCACCTTTTGTAGAACCACCTTTCGCTGCAATTACAGCTGCAAGTCTTTCTGGGTATGTCTCTACCAGCTTTGCACATCTAGAGAGTTAAATTTTTGCCCATTCTTCTCTGCAAAATAGCTCAAGCTCTGTCAGATTGGATGGAGAGCGTCTGTGAACAGCAATTCTCAAGTCTTGCCACAGATTCTCAGTTGGATTTAGGTCTGGACTTTGACTGGGCCATTCTAACACATGAATATGCTTTGATCTAAACCATTCCATTGTAGCTCTGGCTGTATGTTTAGGGTCATTGTCCTGCTGGAAGGTCAACCTCCGCCCCAGTCTCAAGTCTTTTGCAGACTAGATAGGTTTTCTTCTAAGATTGCCCTGTATTTGGCTCCATCCATCTTCCCATCAACTCTGACCAGCTTCCCTGTCCCCGCTGAAGAAAAGCATCCCCACAACACGATGCTGCCACCACCATGTTGCACGGTGGGGATAGTGTGTTCAGTGTGGTGTGCAGGGTTAGTTTTCTGACACATATAGCGTTTTGCTTTTAAGCTATGTCCTCCACTTGGCTTCTCACAAACTTCAAACGGGACTTCTTATGGCTTTCTTTCAACAATGGCTTTCTTCTTACCACTCTTCCATAAAGGCCAGATTTGTGGAGTGCACAACTAACAGTTGTCCTG